ATCCTTGTCTGATCGCCATGATGCCCATTGCCTTCGCTACTATGTACACACTCACGATCTCCACAATCCTTCCATTTATAGAATGGTCACCGATATTAGTAGACATTCTTTATTCATTCGCCGTCCCTGTTTGCTCCGTCCCTTTTCTCTTCGCCTACATTCACTCGTCTTCCCTTCAGTTACCACCTTTATATGTTCATGTAGCATCTCACTTTTCCCTACCCCCCTGGGAAGTTCCAGCTGTTCGGGTCTGTTCTTTCTCACTCCCTTGCTCGAAAGCTCAACTTCCTACGGTGGCTTCCCACTCTCTTTTTCTTGATCACTTCCACTCCCATTCTCATGCCACCGCTGTGTATACAGATGGCTCTAAGTCTTCAGACAGCGTCGGATTCACAGCAATGTTTCTGGACAGCGTCGTGCGGAGGCATTTACTATCTTCGGCTAGCATTTTTACTGCTGAACTTTATGCCATTCTTGCAGCACTTATTCGTATCGCATCTATGCTTGTGTCATCATTTGTGGTAGTCTCAGACTCCCTTAGTGCTCTACAGGCTATACGAAAATTTGATACATCTCACCCCCTAGTTCTCCGTATCCAACTTTGGCTACGCCGTATCTCTACGAAGCATAAAGATATTATTTTTTGTTGGGTCCCTGGTCATGTCGACGTACAGGGCAATGAACAGGCAGACACTTCTGCGCGGTCAGCAGTACATGACCTACCAATTTCCTATAGAGGTGTCCCATTTCTGGACTATTTTGTTGCAATAGCTACCCACCTTCATGCCCGTTGGCAACAACATTGGTCAACTCTGCTTGGTAACAAACTTCATTCTATTAAACCGAGCATAGGTTACTGGCCGTCTTCTTGTCATCAGTGCCGTGGTTGGGAGACCACTCTCTCCCGTCTTCGCATTGGCCACACTCGTCTTACTCACGGGTATCTCATGGAGAGGCACCCTGTACCTCTCTGTGAGCAGTGTCAAGTTCCAGTATCGATTAGCCACATTCTGTTAGACTGCCCTCTCTATCAACGAGCACACAGAATTTACCTCCAACGCCGTCTTCGTTCTACTACTCTCTCTTTACCTTCCCTTCTTGCTGATGGACCCTCCTTTAATCCTGACTCTCTCATTGACTTCTTGACAACGACTGATTTACTCCACAAACTCTGATGATGATGATATTAGCACTCCCCCAGCCCTTTCTAGCTCAGTCTCTTGTCCCCCTTTACCCTTTCCCATCCACTGCTCTGCGTTATCCGAAACCTATTACTCACCACCCCCCTTTTGCCACCTGACCCTCCTTCCCCCTGCCCTGCAGCGCGTGTAGCCCTTGTGGCTTAGCGTTTTTTTTTGTTATAAAATAATAAAAATTCATAAACAAACCAAATATATCCATTCCCGGTATGTTTGCCCCTTACAAGTTCGCCCCCCCCACCCCCATGTGAAATAATATAGAAAGACTTGATTATAGCAAATAATGTCGGGGGTATTGCTTTGCAAAGTTAAATTTCTTTGGGTATTCTTACATACTGATTGTTTTTTTTAAATACTTGATGATATTTCTTTTGCCATTTTGTTACAGTACATTTAAAACTTTGGTTTTCTGTGACTTTCACATTGTGAAAGTTTTTTATGACATTTATAAGAAAATGTGGTTTATTTTTAAATGGGACTTGCTGGGAAAAGTTTTCTCCCCTGGTTCTCCTGTGCCCATATGACCCAAGTTCTGGGGTTTCCCAAAACCCGTACATAATTATACCACACCGATGAAATTTTAGGCGGTAAGTCATATTCACCCAGAAAAAAAAATTACTGTACTACTTTAGAGTCTACCCTTATTATTTAAAACGAACATTAAAAAAGGTAAATTAGTTTATTTTAAAAAAACTAGTACAAGTCATAAAGAAAGGGTGAATTACATTTATCATTTGGGGGAATTTTAAAAAATTTTGAAATACAACTGTAAATCCCATACTAAATATGCCCATCAGAAAATCTGTATAACTACAGAATTAAAAACTTTTAGGTTTTTTAAAAATAGTACTGTACAGTTAAACCCCTAAATTGCAGGGTTAGGTAGCTAAATGTCCTGACAGAACACTTAGTTCTGTCCATTATAATAAGTTAGCTTCATTTTTAGGCTTGTTTGTTTTAGGGAAAAATTTCCCCTTAAATGTTTTTTTTAGTAATAAAATAATTAATATTGTCATTATGGGGCTGAACTAACCCCCCCCCCCCCCCACAAAAAAAAAAGATTCACCCGGGGAAAATTCAATGAATACTTTTAAAACTAGCTAAACCTGTGTTTAGTTTTTCAAGTTATGTTTGGTGTCAAGCAAAACAAAAAGGTTTTGAATTTTTTTTTTTTTTTTTTTTTTAAAACAAGTCGGCCGTCTCCCACCGAGGCCAGGGTGCCCCAAAAAAAGAAAAAAAAAATCCCCAAAAAGAAAAATACTTTCTTCACTTCAACACTTTCACCACACTCGCCCCATTACCTGTTTTTGCAGAGGTGCTCAGAAAAAAAACATCAAAAGCATACAATATAAAGATACACAAAACCCCCCCAAACTGCCAATATCTTTGAATGACTGAATCTATTTGCGGGAAAACCCTTCAGAAAAGCATTTTATTATTGAAGCACACTTTTTTGGAAAAATTTTAAATTGGGGGGTTCAACTGTATTTGATATTACTGTACTATTATATTAGGGCAATGATTTTTTTTTATTTTTTTAAAATTTTTGAGCCCCTTACAGAGGTAAAAAAAAATACAGATAAGAGCGCACCCAAAAGCATTTCTATGAAAGCATTACGGGCTGGCTTAAAATTAACTTAAGATTAATAAGCAATGATGAAATCAGTGAAAACTTAATGTAAATGATTACTTAAAGCAAAGTGAGATTACAAAGACAGGTATTGGTTGCATTTTTGTTAAAATTCCCTGAATTGAGTATTGTTGGTAGTGTATTTAAAAAATAATTTAAAATTAATTGGGTTTTAGGTTTAACATTTATGTGATAAATTTTTGAGAAACATTTAAGTTACAAATTTTTAAGGGTTTAGTTATTCAGATTTATTTGGTTTTGGGGGAGTAAATGATCTTTGAGAAGAGATTGAATTTTTAAAAAAGGTAGTGTTTTTTTATTTTTCAGGTAATGAAATTTCCAGATTTTTTGGGCTTTTTTTGAATTTAGTTTTTCATAGCGTGAGATGGACACGAGGAATATCAAAAATATCTTGCCTTGTGTTATGGTATGTGTTCTGTTGAGGGTTTGGAAGGAGATGTTTGGGGGAGGGTTAAAATTTAGAGTTGGTGTTTTTATGTATGTAATGGTGCAGTAATAATGGAGTTTTGTATGGTGGTAGGTTGGGATTGATATTGGGGGAGTGGCTGCCTGTATGAGAATTTTTTATATTTAACTGCGCCCTTTTTTTGGGAAAATTGTGGTCTGGATGGTTATTGTTGTTGGCCCCTGCACAAATTCCTAGGTGAGATAGGGGGAAAAAGAGAGTGATATAGGGCCAGGAGGGGACTGTGGACATAGTACCGTATCTTTATAGATGCCACAGTCTTTGGAAAATTTTTTTAGAAATTTGTTGTATATGGTATAAATTTTGGGCTATTATCAAGGGGGATTCCCAAGAATTTTCCCTTGTTAGCTTTTGAAAGGGGATCCGTTTTTCATTATGTTTTAAAAGGGGGAAACGTAGCTCGTTACCAAACTGAATGAAGTAGGTTTTTTCAATGTTTAGTGTAAGTTTGTTAGTACTCATCCCGGTGATATTTTCTGTAATTTGGTATTTACAGTATTGGCTAGCGTGACTGGGCTCGGGTGGGGGAAGATTTTGTTGTGTCATCAGCAAATAGTGTGGTTTGAGTAATTGAGAACATTTTTGGGAGTCATTTATGTATAGGGGAAAGAGAAAGGGGGCCAAGGACATTCCCTGTGGGCACCAACTGAAAATTTGGTTGTGCAGAAGGTTTGCCCCATTTGGACAATATTTGGGGGGTTTGTTGGAGGTATGACTTGAGGGAGTTTAGGGGGTGCCCTTAACCATAGTGTGACAATTTTACGGGAGCAAGTCATGGTCAACTGTATCAAAAGCTTTACGTAAGTCAATGAAGATCCCCCTGGGATTTTTTTTTCTTATTTCCCGTGTATATATGTTTAGCATGTGTATAAAAATCATTGATTTTTATTTGGCCCGAATCCAATTGGGAGGGGTTTTAGTATGTTTTGGGAGATAAGGTGGAGTAGATTTTGTTTAGAATTAATTTTTCGGATTTTTAGAGAGGGGTAAGTTGGATATTTGGCCCATAGTTATTCAACTTGTTTGGGGGCTCCTCCCTTTTTGGATCGGGGTGACCCTTGCTATTTTGGTACTGTAGGGGAAGGGGGAGGATTCAATGGATTTGTTAAAAAGGGGTTCAATGATTTGGGGATAGCACTTTTGACACTTTTTTTTTATATAAAGGGGGGAAGGTATTTAAAACTCCGCCTTGTTTTTTAGTGCGTTGATAATAAAGGGTTCGATGGGTTGTCGGGCTAGGAAAATGTGTTCGGGAGTGCCGGTGAGGTAGTCATTTGGTGGTGTTTTTTTTTTTAGGGGTTTTGGAATGTGGGTGTTTCCAGGGACTGTTCATCTCTTGCTGTCATTCTTTGTTTTTTTTTGGGCATGCTTTTTATAAGGTATTGGTCTTTTTTAGAAAAAATTTAAAACTTCGTAATATCTGTATTTATTTCTAGCTAGTGGCCAGTCAATGCATCTTGATGTTGTCAATATTTACCGTTCAATGATTTATTTTTGAAAACCCCGCTTAAGTGAGTAAAATTTTTTTGAATCCTGTTATAAAAATTTTCTTACTGTCTTTTAGGTGGATCGTAAAAGGCTGGTAAATTTTGCACTCCCTACACTGGATGGGGCAGTCCTAATCTAGCAGCTCCCTCCTCCCCCCCAGGCAGGTTTGGGCCACCCAAAAGGGTAACAAAATTCCGGAAAAGAAGGAGGAGTAAGAGTATCAGAGTCACAGCCTTTGATACCAGGGTCTTTTACTACTTCTAAAATTGAAAGACCATTAACACCTGAAGCACAAGACACTTCTCTATCTTACGAAGATCTCAATACTGTAACAGAAGAAACGGAAGAAAGAGATGGTCTAGGTTATGACTATAACTTTGACTATAAGAATTATGACTATGATTACTATGAAAATGGTGCAACTAGAAGGAAAAGACAACCTGATAAAATTAATATTGAGAATGATGTAAATGTAATAAATGGAACTGTTAATAGTTTACAAGAAGGTACTGAAGAAAGATCAACTTCTGTAAATATAAAGAAACATAAAAGGCAAAACAAACCAGGAAGCACTACTAAAACTAAGAAAATACAAAAGCAAATTGCTTCTGAAAGACCATTCAGGAGCAAAAGTCATCACAACAGTTCAGGGGTTCAAGCAGATAACAAATCTGGAAGAACAAGACGACTGAATTCACCATCTAAAGGAAAGTCATACAAGATGACTCCCATATTAAGAAATCTAACTACTCAAGAAGTTTTCCAGGACAGGATGAGAAGCGCACTCAGGGTTCAGCAGCCACATAAGAATGTCAGGCGGAAGGATATTCATCCCTTAAGGGGAGGTTTTTCTCACTCCCAAAGATCAAAGAGGAAATCTGGATTCCCTTTCAGGTCATTTGTAGAGGATGTGACTTGGATATAACATTTTTAATTGTTAAATGTTTTATTCTTACACCACAAATTATTAGTCTTTAGCTCTGTATTATTTTAAGTGCCCTCGTGATAATTGTATGAATTACTTGTGTGCATTATCGAGATGCATAATTAGCAGGAAATTTTCCCACTTCTTCCAGTTTCATTTCGACTCAGTTATATATATCTGCCTCTGGCTTTTCTCTAAATATAAAAATATGACAAGATGCAATGAAACACCCTAGTGTATAAAGTATGGTAATTATTTTTTTGTGCTCTTTCTTAAATAATTGTCATGACAAGAAAAATGCTTGAGTTTACTTGGTATATTCATAAAACTGGTTTATTAATGGTTAAGAGGCTGGGCCTAAGAGCTGGAGATTAAACCCAGTCAGGACAGTTGGGTAAGTATAGTCAGTGACTACCATGACAAGAGTTTCACCTAGTTCAGGTGTAGTCAAGCAATTTATCAATTTTTCAGTTCTGAACTCTTTAATTCAGTCGATTGATAAATTAGCCATATTTCAAGCTTGGTGCAACTTCTTTATTAAACTATGTTTATGTACAAAGTAAAAGCATGTTTAAGAGATATAACTGATGAAACAAAACATTTGCTGAAATCCTCAACATTAGCATTGAACACTTAGCACTAAATTATAAAATTCATCATTGCTAGTTATCCATGCCAGTTCATCTTTGATTTCAATATTTGCACTTTGCTTAAGTCTGAAAATGTATTAACAAGAAGTTTGTGTATTTTTTTATCTGTATACTATTTTATTTTATTTATTTATTTTTTTTAGGAAAATAAGTCACTTTGACTTTTTTTGGGTTATCCTGGGTAATTTACACTGTGTATTATAATTGTATACTTATGTGTACCTATGCCTAAATAAAATTACTAACCTATAAATGTTGGACTTCTTAACACAACAGTGACTCTTCCGGGTATATCAAAACTTTCATTTATACACATTACCTACTTGGAGTATCTGCTAATTATTTACAATGTGTATTCGTTATAGTTATTACACTGAGCATGATTTCTCAGAATTTTTACTGAACTAAAATAAATATAAGTTTAAAAAAAATTCCATGGGGAAGTGGAGCAGAATTCTTCCTTTGTAAGCCATGCGTGTCGTAAGATAAGATAAAACCAATATTGCAAACTAGAAATACCGCAGGAAATAGCAAACAAGAGGACTCCAATAGCAATAGTGAGGATAAATTACCAAAAACAACTGGTGGGAGCTCCATTGTTGGTGCTAGGGAGGATAGGAGTAAGACAGGGAAACATGCACCAACAGGGAATACAGTCACAGAAACCCAAGGCAAACGGAAACCAAGCCTGTGCTCATACTATGCACTTGGTATCTGCTGGCATGGGAAATCTGGAAAAACAGATGGGACATGCAACTATACCACCCTAGAAAATGTCATGCCCATATGACAACAGGAAAATGCAAAACTCCCTTCTTAAGCTTTTTCAACCCTGAAATTGTGTACTCTTTTTAGTACAGGGAAAGACTGTGCTATAACTTAAATTGCCAGGCATACCATCTAAAGGGGACAAAAAGATACAAAAAAAATCCAGGCCATGGGAAAACCTGGGTAGCCACAGCCACCAAGAGGGAGAGGTTTTTTAGTGCCAGGAAGGAAAAAAAATGCAGGAAATGGAGAAAAACGTACCCAAATCCAGTCATTCCGGAGTGGAACCACAGTCGATGGCCTCCTCCAAACCAACAGATACAGTTTCTAATCCGGAAAGAAAACCCCCCCAGTCCAACAATACCCCCCAGTCGATAAAATTTTTCTTTTCAAATTACAGGGGCTAAGCCGCAACAAACAACAAAAATTCCTTTTTCCGTGGACTGCTTGCAGAGGCAAAGGGGAATGTTCCGGGTTTCACTGAGACCAATAAAGGACACTTGGACAACAAATATGGTCCCAGGTTACACCTATAAGTTGTGACAGGTGAACGGGAAAAAGGGGGGGGTTGGCCTTACATTGCGAGTCACTTGTTTGCACAGAACTGTTTAATCCCTAAAAGACGTGTGGAAGTTTTAGCAGAAAGGCGAGAACCCAAAAACCTAGTCTTGGGGTGTCTACAACCCTTTCCGGATGCAACATCCAGCAATTCAGGAACAGCTTTTTAAAAAATTTACCACTGTCTGGAAAATTTCCAGTCCTGCACCCAACATCTTGCTCCTGGGGGTTTTCAATTTAAGGCCCCTAAAATGGGGAATATAGCAAATATATTGTTCAGAATAACACCAGGAGGCAGCTCTGATGAAAACCACACCAACGAGTTTTTAAATCTCTGCAAAAATTCAATTTAAACCAGCAAATAATAGAGCCTATAGACTGGAAATACCAGACCCCATCCACAAAAATGATGATCTGATAAGAATGTCACCATATCAAAAAAAAATTACTCAGTCACAAAATATTGAGGTTCAGACATGTATGGTGGGCCCCCGACGACAAAATGAGAATCACGAGGGGAGCTTACCCAAAATTAACTTTTAAAAAAAAAACATAAATGGGACCAAGTAAACCCAAATCAAAACCCATAAAGCTGGGAAGTATACTAAGCAACACAGACCCAAACTTATGCCCAGAAAAAGATTAACTCGGTGGGACCGATGTATGCCAAGGCTTATTTCCCCTTAAAAAAAAGGAGGGGTAGATGTAAAAAGAAAAAGGGAAAGGGGCTCCCTTACAGGCGACGGAAAAAAAAAACAGAGCGGTAAAAAAGGTCAAAAATTATCGAAATGCGCAGGGGACACTGGTAGAGAAATGCAAATCGAAATTTAAACTAAAAGAAACCTTTAGGAGTCAGGAAATCGCGGGAAAAACTAAAAGCCCAAAAAAAAACGAAAGAAAAACCCAAAAATTTTTCTTTTCCCTTTCCAAAACAAAATCGAGAACAACGTCCAGTATTGGGCCCCTACTTAAACAAGATGGGTCCTACACAGATGACAACAAGGAAATGAGTGAGCTACTCAAGTCCCAATATGACTCAGTTTTTGCAAGCCGCTAACCCAGACTGAGGAGTCGAAGATCAAATGAATTTTTATGAGAGAGCCGAAAAATTTGATTAACACAAGCCTATCCGATGTTATCCTGACGCCAAATGATTTTCGAACAGGCGATAAATGACATGCCATGCCCCCTCTGCCCCAGGGCCAGACTCATGGAACTCTGTGTTCATCAAGAACTGCAAGAAGCCCCTTATCACGAGCCTTTTCCATCCTATGGAGAGGGAGCATGGACACGGGGGTCGTCCCTCAGTTACTAAAAACAACAGACATTAGCCCCACTCCACAAAGGGGGCAGTAAACAACAGCAAAGAAATACAGCCCAAAAGCACTACATCCCCTTCATAAAAATCTAGAAACCCCCTCATTTTCAAAACCAGGGGAAAATGGGTTTTGAACAGGTCGCTCCTGTCGTTTTCAACTACTGGGTCACTACGACAAGGTCCTAAATGCACAAAGACAAAAAGAAGCTGGAATATAACAGATTTGCAAAAGCCTTCGACACGGCCATGGCGTAATACGCACAAAATTCGCGCTAAAGGAATAACAAGGGAAAAATCGGCGAGGACTATAATTTTCCCCACTAAAAGAACAAGGAGTAGTTCAACAGAGTAAGTCCGGGCGTACGGTGAAAAGCCCTTTTTTCCAAAGGCACAGTATAGCCCCTCTTGTTCCTCATCCTCATATCCGACATAGACAAGGATGCAGCCACAGCACCGTGTCTTCCTTTGCAGATGACACCGAATCTGCATGACAGGTCTTCCCCCTTTCGACACTGCAAGGCTCCAGGGGACATCAATCAAATCTTTTATGGGGTGAGGAAAAAACAATATAAGTTCAACGATGAGAAATTTCAATTTCCAGAATTAAAAATGAGGAAATTAAATCTTCATCAGAGTACAAAAAAAATTTGGCCCCAAAATAGAGCGAAACACCAACGTCAAAGCCTGGGGGGGTTATGTGGGGATTCACCTTCAAGGCCAAAAAATTTTATCACGCATCTGCTAGAAAAAAGACAGGATGGATAATGAGAACCTTCAAAAATAGGGAGGCCAAGCCCATGATGACATCTTCAGGTCACTTGTTCTATCTAGGCGGGAATATTGCTGCACTCTAACACACCTTTCAAGGCAGGTGAAATTGCCGACCTAGAAAATGTACAGAGAACTTTCACGGCGCGAAATAACGGAGATAAAACACCTCAATTACTGGAGCGCTTGAGGTTTCTAAACCTGTATTCCTGGAACGCAGGAGGGAAGATACATGATTATATACACCTGGAAAATCCTAGAGGGGCTAGTACCGAACTTGCACCCCGAAAATCACTCACTACGAAAGCAAAAGACTTGGGAGAAAGATGCACCATCCCCCCAATGAAAACAGGGGTGTCACTAGCACGTTAAGAGACCATACAATAAGTGTCAGGGGCCCGAGACTGTTCAACTGCCTCCCAGCACACATAAGGGGGATTACCAACAGACCCCTGGCAGTCTTCAAGCTGGCACTGGACAAGCACCTAAAGTCAGTTCCTGATCAGCCGGGCTGTGGCTCGTACGTTGGTTTGCGTGCAGCCAGCAGCAACAGCCTGGTTGATCAGGCGCTGATCCACCAGGAGGCCTGGTCACAGACCGGGCCGCGGGGGCGTTGACCCCCGAAACTCTCTCCAGGTAAACTCCAGGTAAAATGTCGGGAACAAGGGGCTAGTTACCCCTTTTCCTGTATACAGGAAGGCCCCGCTTTACGGCGTTTCACTTTACGGCGTTCCGCTAATACGGACATTTCAAATTATGACCAAAACTCGCTATACGGCTCCCCCCACCTGACTTTCTAATACGGTCACCGTGCCCCACCCTGTTTGTTTACATTCTCCATGAGCTCAGTAAGCACTAAGTCTCTCCATTTTGTCTGGAAACTCCAAAATTTCAAATGTTTTTAAAGTTATTTCATATTTATATATATACTCTGATAATTATACTTATGTATACCTGTACCTAAATAAACTTACATACTGTGCTGGCATGCAGGTACACATTAAAATTGGTAAGTGTCTTATGTCTCCAGACGTCATATTAGTAATGATAATAATCATCGAGTCATTTAAATGTCGTATATTACGTTAATATACACATTTTCATTAATCCATCCATGATATTTTTTTCAAATTATATAATAAACACGATGCATAACATATAAATAAGATAAATACACCCCACAGTAGAATAAATAAACATAAATGTGAGATGTGGTAGCAGACGACTTGCACAAGTGACGCCATATTAGAAATGATAATAATAACAATACTCACCGAGTCTCATTAAATGTCGTTATATTACGGTAATATACACATTTTCATTAATCCATCCATGATATTTTTTTTTAAATTATATAATAAACACGATACATAACATAAAAAGATGATAAATACACCCCACAATAGAATAAATAAACATAAATATAAGATGTGGGAGCCACATAACTTGTACAAGTGACGGCAAGAATAACATTTCTCTAATCTAACATAAGAGAAAATGTGTTACTGGGGGTAACTGTAGAAAATTATTCTTTTCGTATGTATGTAAGTTTATTCAGGTATACACAAATACAGTTACATAGATTATCATACATAACAACATACGTGTAGAGAACCTAGGATAACCCAAAAAAGTCAGTGTGACTTATTTCCATTGCCTTCACTCAGAGCTTCATTTCTTCTCAAAATGATGTTACATGAGAATGGAGTGTTCTTCTTTATTAATTCTACCGTATCAATGTTAGAGACAACCTGTACACAATGTAACTTGTACACAAACAGACGTGTACACTTCGTTTGTTTACAAAACTTACCTTCGCCTGGTTTTGTTTACATAACTCT